ATGATAAAATCTTTATTAATATTATTTATTGATTACATGATGATGACAATAGAAAGTAAGAGTAACTAGACTCCATCTATTGAAATTCCTTAATTAATGTCCTTCACAGATATTCACAATTTAAAAATCCTCCAAAATGAACCAATTCTCTAACTCTTTGTAATGCTTCCTCGAATAAATATAAACAACAGATTCTTTTAAAGATTAAAAATGACATTGTTGATGCACAAAACACCTATCAACATACATCATACATCTATTAGAGATGCATGCACAAGTTCACATTCATGCATTGCATATATATATATATATATATATACTGTTAAATTAATAGCCATTGAAGGATATTTAATACTAAGTATGCCATTTGATAAGTACCAAACAAAAAAAAAGTTTTTACATTTTTACATCCTTAATCAGCAGATTTAGCATCATTCAAATTTATTGTTTATAAGGAATACGTTTTTCTTCTTATAGATAAAAAATCTACCCTACTAGCTTAAGAACATAAGTATATGTAAGTTCTAAAAATGCTCAGTAATGATACAAATTGATTTACAATTATAAGAATATGCATAATGTCATTATCATTAAAAAGTTTAAATCAAGTTAGACATCAAACAGTATCTTTTAATGAAAACTTTTATATGATTTTTTGTATAAAACTTATTGATGTTTATTTTCTTGTCTTTTTATGTAAAAAATCTTCTCTTCTTTACAAAAAAGTGGTTAGCTCATCTCCATTGCAAAACTATTTGTTGATTGCTTGGAATTTCTTGTATCAAATTTGGCCAAAAACCAAGAAAAAGGTTATGCATTGGTGAAGTCTTTTAAAGTGAAACAAAATTCATTGGAACATGACAAGATATCAAGGTTTATTTTGTTTTATTTTTTAAAATTATATATTTTAATATTTATTTATAATAAAATTTATGTATAACAATTTTTTCAAATAACATAAGTCAATCGATGAAAACAGTACAGAAGATTATCATAAGCAAAAAAAAAAAGAGACAAAAGGATAACTGGTGATACGTAGTTCTATCTTCTCATATGACAAACAAAGTTAGTTCTATATGATTTTTAAATGAAAAATATACAATTTTATTTATTTCAATTTTCTTTAGACTTAATATGAAACTATTTTATTAGGGGAAACATTGTACACTTCTTCACTTTTTCCATTACATCAATTGCAAAATATTCCATGTTATAATTATTATGGTGCTAAAAAGTTCCAATATGAGTCTCCATCATTTTGTTGTCAAACTAGTTAAGTGAAATTAGCTACCACTTTTATTCTAGAAAAATTATATCATCTTTTTGCATTTCAAATTGAAAAAGCCATTGAATTCTGAAAGCACATTAAATCATACAATAGTATATTCTCATTCACATATTTTAGAGCTAGGTTAGATAAGGATCTTGCATCTTTAAGACAAGATATTTACATCTTTTAAGCATAAGGGTAAATATATCATGATATTCCAACATTAGTTCTAAAAGAAAATAATTTGTGTTATTTTTAGCTATACTTTTATAACACAGGTAATGAACTTCAAAATAGAATGAAAACACAATACAATAAAAATTTAAGTACAAAAGTTTCGAAGATAATAATAAAAATTCTAGAAGAAAATTTTTAGACCCAAGTTTTATGGAGATTAAAGGATATATCTTTTTTGAGGATTTTGAAATTCATATTGCAGCAAATGTTACTCTAGATCAACGAATTATAATTGTCCATCTGTTGATCAAGTACCTTACTATTAAACTATTAAACTAAAACTAAATCAATAATAATATAATAGTAAATCATTCATAACTTAGTAATAAATTATTCATAAATTAGTAGTAATCAATGCTAATTTAATAGTAAATCGTTAATATTTTAGCAATATATCATTGATAATTGAATAGTAAATCACTAATAATATAATAATAAATCAATGATAATTCAATTGTCAATCATTGATCATTTTTTTTATACTTAAAATTAGTAGGAATTGAACCTTAGTTACCAACAAAAATGAAGTTGGAAATTTCATCTTGAAAAACTAAGATAAATCTACTACAAACCTATAAGAACCTATGCAATAAAAAGTTTAGTGAAAAAATTATAAATTTGAATTACACAATAATGTTATTATATAAAAAAAAATTATCTTATACTAAAATCGAACCCGCGCCTTTCTACAAGAATTCGTTGTTAAAATATGATGATACAAATTTTATTAATGATTACTAAAAACATATCATAAGTTATCATAAAGTTAATTATTAAAATTGCATCAACAAGTTACTAAAATTTTATCAATGGTTATCAAAATTAATCATAAATTAGAAAACTAATATTGAAAGTTATTAAAATTGTATCGAATATTATCAAACTTTTATAAAAAATTTATCAAAATCAAAATTATATAAAAAGTTATCAAATTTTACTTATATTATACCAAAATCAAAATTAAATTCTTGTTATTTAACATTTATTATCATAGTATCAAAAAATTTTATTTATTAAAATGATTTTTTAAATTGTAGGAGATTTTCATCAAGTGTTACCTGTTGTTCCCTATGGTACAAGAGTAGAAACAGTTAATGTTAGTTTTGCAAAGTTTTATTTGTGGTGTAAGATGAAAAATTGAAATTGACACAAAATATGAGAGCAAGATTAGATCATGCCTTCAATGAGTTTTTGCTTCGAGTAGGAAATGGTTATGAACCTACAAAAAGTAATGACTTAATTCTTCTTCCAAAGGAAATGGTGATAAAATACAAGAATGATATAATTTCATATAGAAAATTGATTGACAACATCTTTCCTTTTCTTATAGAGAATGCTAGATCTAAAAAATATATGATGGAATGTGCAATTCTTGTAACAAAGAATGAGTATGTTGATAAATTCAATGCAAAATTGATAAAGATATTCCCAAATATCATTGTCAATAAAAGTTAAATAATTGCTAATATTGCCATATTGATATTTATATAATATATATGACTAATTTTGATTATATATTTTTAGGTGAAAGTATAATATTCTATATCAACCAAGCATGGTGCAAAATTTGCATAAAATTCACTACAAAATCGGACTGAAGTAAGATCTTTCATTAAAACAGCATGTTATATACATAAAATAAGTATGTATTTTTTATTCTAATCAAATGAAATTCAAACTAATTTATATCATGTGAATAGGTCAATGTTAAAAATAGAGATCAGTGATGAAAATTAAAGTATTATACTTACTTTATTTCAAGTTACAAAAACTCTCATTGGTTGTAAAATTTCAAAATACCTCAAGTACTTAAATGATAAGGTAATGAATTATTATTTGCATAGTTGTAATTTAATTTAATTTAAAATATTATTTATAACGTTATTATTATTTAATTTTAGGAAGAATCGAAGAAAAGAAGAGAACCTGATTATTACAACAATCTAGTTTCAAGTCTAAATAAGGAATTTAAATTTTCAGTGCAAATAGATCAAAAACAAGAGTTTGAATGAGTTAAACTACAATTAATTGCCCCAAAAATATAAAAAATTGAAGATAAAACTCATCAACAAAAAAAAAATGAAAGCTTGTGAAAAAACAAAAAGCAAAAAAAAAAAAAAAAGAAAATGTTCAATCCAATTTGACTATAATAAAAAATAATCCTCTAAAAAAACAAAATGAAAACAAAAATAAAAATGAAAAGGACGAAGATGACGACCATACAGTGAAAACTTCAAAAAAAAGTTTATCAATGAAAAGATCAAAATGGAGATAGATATTTATTTTTTATGGAACTTCTTTTTTAGCTTTTTTATATTTTTTTGAATTTTAAATTTTATTAATGATTAATGTAATTTAATTATATAAAATTATTAAAATTAAATTATTGTTATCTTATATTTTAATTGACTATCACGTGCATAGCACATAGTCAAAAACTTGTATATATATGTAGACAAGATGAACTTCGAGCTTCATGCACTGTTTCTTGTGAGGTACTTAGAAAAAGGGCATCCTTCTAAACACAGAAAGTATTGTTTGGTATTACAGTTACTTATACTAGTAAAAAATCACTCATTAGACTTGTTAAATGAAAATGGTTTATGAAATAAAAAATTAAATTATAAAGTCACAATCTCACGTTGGCTAATTGTAATGATACAATATGTTATATAAGAATAAATATAAAATATTTTTTGTGAGTGAGATAAAATCGTAAAATTTTTAAATTTGAACAAATAATATCTTATAAATTAAATCCATATTACCACATAAAAATTTATAATCTAATTTTCTAATTAGAAGATGTATGCAATTTCTATTGATGTAGTTGTCCAAGTTTCTTTGAACTGTTTTAAAAGACTGAGAAAGATGTTTTATATTCATTCAAAGAAGATGAAAATATTTATCACAAAGCAAGGAAGAAATGTTTCAATAAAGTTGATGATGTTATGCAAAATCATGCTGTTGTCTGATAACATCTACCACATCTTTTATTTAAAAAAAAAAAAAAAGAAAAGGAAAATCCAAAAGCCATCATACAAAAGATAAGTCTCCAATTATTCATTTATTTTTATATATTGTTATAAGATAGAACCACAATCTTTAACTAGCTGCAGATTACATTTTTCTCTTGTTACTGATTCACTGCATAAACAAATACCTTAATTGAACTCATCATAGGACATTGGTGGCTTAATCATGAGTTGCTGAACTTCTGGACTCCTCATAACCAGCTTCTAGAAAAGGATATCAAAAACAAACATGTGCTAAGTAGAATTATACAACAATTTTCTAACTTCAATACGAAATGAACAATAAATCAAATAATCGTTTTTTAGCTCTAATACTCACAGCATTCATGTTCAACACAGGAAACTGCAGTTGATTAACAGGATGACACTCATTTTCCTCTGGAAATTTTCCATCATCATCCTAGAAAAATTCATTCATAGTATTGAAATCATGCTCTTTAATTTCGCCCTTCCAAAGAATTTGATATGGAGCATCAAAAATCATGCAAGTTTGGCTAATTGCATCTCTAGTTTTGTAGCATTGGATGTGCTGTACTATGTACTGAATCAATTAGTTTTGTTAAAGAGAAAGAAAGAAGACCTTATGGTTAATCAATGGGACGATATCAACCAAGAAATCGAGTGCCTCCTCTTGCCTTATAGCCCTGGCAATGTCACATCGCTGCAGGGTTCGACGTTTACCTTCCTCAGTTTGCAGCCACGCACGAAGGGTTAGATCCATAATGAAGAGCTCACACGCCTTGGAGAAAAAGACAAGAGTGTCTGCACTGATCATCTAGTGCAACATGTTAAATATAAGTAACAAGGTCCACGATTGTGTAAATAAAACAAAATGTTAGCATTTACCCCTTTAAGGCCATGAATAAATATCACTACTCATCTGTCTTCATCAAAATCAAATCAAATTTCATTTGTTTTTTTCTCTTCTTTTCTGAATCCTTGTTTGATCATTGATGTATGACATCTTTCAAGCTTTTCTATCTGATTTACTACATATCTGTCTATGTAATAAACTCATTCAATATCTGTACAGAATTAGATGTTTGTATAGGATTTGATTATGGCTTGATATATATGAAATCCCCTATAGGAAACTTATGGCTTGATATGAAGAATAATGTATCTATCAAAGTTGAAAATGAAGGATAAAATCAGATCAATTTGTAATAAACCTTCACATCTTTATCAGATTTCATAATCCTCTTGATCCTTGCTAGAGGTAGCTGATGGTGGCTCTTGAAAACTAAAATTCAGCACAAAAGCAAACAGACACAGCAATCAGTGGAAAAAGAAATAAAAGAATAAAATAAAAAGGGGAAAGGTAAATAAAATTGACTGCAATGGAAGACATAATACAGCATATTAGTGCCCTTCATTCGTTTCACACTCAAAAAGAACCTATGCTTGAGGTTTTCTTATTTCTGTTATGTTCTTAGTCATATATATATATATATATATATGTATCAGACAAATCAAATTTATACAATGTAATCTGACAAATCTATATATACTAAAGATGCAGAAACTGAGATAAATTGATAAATAAGGGACCTGATATGTTATGAATCTCCATCATTTGTTGGTACCAGAACAACTCTAAATTGCGCTTCTGAAGCAGAAGAAGTGAGTGCTTCACTTCTTCACCGTCCTTCACATAAGGAGCCCCAAACAAAAAAAGAAGATTATAATGAATAATGAGGATAGTATACATAAATCAAATATGATCTTCATATAGGCAAAAAAAAAAAAGGTATTATATACAAGAACAGAATTGATCAGGGTGGAGTATGAGCTTCACCTCCTTGGAAGGCTGGTGAAAAGGCAACATGAAAGAAGTCATTGGCATGAAGTTATGAATCTGAGGAGAAGAGGTTGCAGAAGGAGTGAACTCCATAGATTGATTCAAGTCCATGGCTCATGTCAAGACTCAAGGGATAGTCCCTTAAATAGTGAGTGAGGGTGATACATAAAAGCGAAGTGGAAAGGTAAGTGAATACTTTAAGGCAACAAGCAATAATTTTTAGGGCAGGCTGAGGAATTAGCATTAAGTGTGTGGTAATGTTGAGCTAATTTAACCATGTATAGCGTCACTTTAAAGTAAGAATGGGCAGTGCACAGGGAAGGTTATTAACATTACTTCTCACCAAAACCTGTAATGAACTTGCCCAGTAAGGAAAATTTATAACCTACATGTAGAATCACAAGCTACAAATCTGTTTATAGAATCACATCTGTATTCTATACTCAAAATTTGAATTCTAAACTCACTGATTATCAGTACACGCGCTTGTTATGATTGCACTTGCTTCAACAAAGATGAATGTGCGTTTTGTATTGCTTTTGACCTCCATATAATTAATTAGCTTAGTTGTTTTAACTCAAAATCCGTTGAAGGAACAAGTTCTTTTTATTAATAGAACAGGACAAGGCACGTGCACAGAAGGTAACGTCAGATTCAGGTTGAAATATAGATGTTTTCATGGTGTTGAGCAAAACAGGCAATTGAGGCTGTCCATAAATTCAATATTGTCTGTCATAGTTTCATATTAGCAATTACTAATAATGGTTTTTTCCCTTCTGGTGTGATTAATGTGATGTTGTTTGCAAGTCATTTAATTATTATTGAATGGCAGAAGAATCTGATTCCTCTAAGCCTACCTGGAGTCTGTCATCTGAGTTGGCCTGGAAAAGTTGAGCACCTTCTGGAGTAAACTTCAGTTTAAGGATATCTACCATTAGATTAAATTCATGTTGCTTCACTTGTATGGTATGTTAGACCAGTGAGAAAACAGAAGCCAGTTGATCTCCAGGTGTGGGGATTAGCTTTCATCCTTAAAAACTGCAAAAACTGATTTTTTCCGCTCAATTGATTGAAGTTTAGTTTTCCATTACCAGGGATGTGGACACTGTGTGCGGCCAAACTAGAAGCAGTTAAATACCAGTTCATTTTTTTTTCTTTTGTGTGAATTCATTGAGATGATGTCAAGAATTCTTGATTCTCTCAATAATTAAAGTTTCTGCTATTAATAAATGCAGATTTTCATTCAGGCAAAAGCAGGAAGAACTTGCTACAGTAGAAACAAAAAGGAGTTTTATAGCTACATCAACTTGCTAAGATCTTCAAATCCATGCTCCCAAACTATCATTGAGCATGCTCTAACATATGCTGCTGTTTGATTGAAAATAACAATAATTTCTACATGACCTGTAGCTGTGTACTTCTTCACATTCCAAGCAATCAATTGTATAGTCCTTTCAACATACTGCATTCCATTCAATTGGACATTCCAAGCAATTGTTTGATGTTCGATCCTTTCTACTTACTGCATACGGTTGTTTACATCTAAAATTTAAGAAGGGGAAAGATGGATTTCGCTGTCTGAACTTTCTGATCCATGTTTCTGATCGACAACAAGCAACACTAGTGTATATGCAGTGAATTTAAAGGCAGAATCATCATTTACAAAATATTTAAATAACAGTTCCATTTGCTACATAAATTTCTATTAGGTTTAGAACCATTTATATTTTCTTGCATATATGCGCTGCCAACAGCCTTGCGGTTGGCCGTTTAGTGTTCAATGATCAGGATTCACTCTCTGGCCGTGTCAAGTATAAAAAAAAAAAAAAAAATGATATATGCTAAACTTTTCTCAAAGATTTTAACCTTTAATCTTACACCCAAAAGTAAAAATAAAAATAAAAGGTTAATTTAAAATTAATATCAGACACTTAAATTATGTTGAAATGTTCAATTTGGTACCAATTAATTTAATACAACTTTGATTATGTTAGCATATGTAAATTTGCATTTGCTTTTTTCAAGCTTTGAACATTGTAGGGGGGAGTTTTTCTTAATTTAGATGAGCTCATCGTCAATAATTTTTTTTCCTTCCACCAAACTAAAGAAAACAGACAAAAAATATATATATACGAAACATAGCTGGCGATATTCATTTACGTGGAGAAACATATGGACAGTCAGAAATGCTGCTAAGCAAGGTCTTCAATGGAGGGTTGGTGATGGGAACAAAATAAGGATTTGGCAAGACAAATGGATTTCCTCGGATGCAATGCTAGGTCCATGTGTCACATGACCATTATTCTCTATCAGCAAAACTAGATTACTGAGGTTTGTAGTACCAATGCTTATATTCTCAGCGATTTTTCTTTCTGATGTGGGATTGAAACACCCCGCTTACTCCCTTCGACTGCTTGGCATGACATATGTACTGATCAAAGACTGATGCAAGAGTGGCTGACCTGATTGATCCTGATCCAAGATGCTGGAGAGATAAGCGGGTCTAGAAGGTGCTTTCAACAGAGGATGCTGAGATGATTTGTTCTATCCCGCTGATAGCGGTGGATGCAAATGCTATAGTAGAATGTGTATGGAGACTTCCAAAGATTGAAAAACAAAAAAATTAAAAAAAAAAGTTATGGACACCTCAAAATTTTTCCTGGATATTCTCAGAATTTTAAGTTGAACGCATCTTTATTAACTTTCTAATACTCCACTCACTTTCACCATCCAATATCCAATTAAAACTCACAGCCAACCAACACCCAACACGATATCCACGGCAACAATTGGATACTTGGAGAAAAAATCCTGAATCTGCCGCTGCCAGTTGAGCAGGATGGTGCAACCCGATGAACTCATATGGAGATTTGAAAAGAATGGGGAGTATGTTGTGAGGAGTGCCTCATATGATTAATCTCGGTCGTGGCAATCAGTCTGGAGCAAGTCTGGAAAATTGAAATGCAAATGATTCATTTTGGCACAAGCTATGGAGATCGGGTGTTCCAAACAAGATCATAGTATTTGGCTGGAAATTGAATCATGGTATCATCCCTGTTTATAAAAATCTTACAAAAAAGAAATATTATGTAAGGTGCGGCCAACAGGTAGAAACCGTAACGCATGCAATCAAAAGCTGTGATGATGCAAAGGAAACATGGAGAAAGTATTGATCAAGGCAAAATGTTGACAATTTATAATACTTTAACTAACTTGAATTGAAAGTCGCACACTGCCACCAAACAACATCATCATTGCAAACGTTCAAGTTTGTTGTTTTGGTTGGTCTTCTTCCATTTTTTTTTTGTTTTTTGTTTGGCATTTCTGTTGTACATTTGCAGTGTACTTTTATCAAAAGAATTATTTTTTTTATATCACTTGCCTCAATTCAAGTCCTAAAAATGGTTAAACAAAATTTGCATGTGATACATTGATCATCACGTCCTCTTATATATAAACAATTCTCGTACATAACATACAATTAATAAAACAGTAGATATCACACATTACTTCGGTATGTAACCCCATTTATCACAAAAAATTATTGGATTATTATAATTAAGACTTTGAACCCTACTACTTTCTTGCAGATACTTCTGATTTTATTAGCATCAAAATATTTACAGTTCTATGAGCCGAATAATTTGAATTAACGCGAAATTAGTAGTTGTTCGTGTTCAGTAAGAGAGTGACGGAAGTGACACCTGTGGCCATACGGACAGGTCTCGCCGGCAAGGACCATCCGACAAACCTCGGTTTTGTACCTTGGATGCCTAATAACAGGACGTAGCTCTGTGATGCCATGGGCAAACTGGCAATGGTCGCCGTAGGGGCATGTGCCGGTCTCCTGCCATTTGTTGCACAGCTCTGTCTTAACCGTTCCTTGATTGTGTACATCGAATTCAATTGCCTTGTCTTCTCTTCTTGACTCAGATGGCACATACACCTGCGGCTGCATATTAATTTGACAAAGTTATGATATATTTCCTATTAAAACCGTGCAAATACAAGAAGAATCATACAAAACATATATGTTTAAAGAGAAAATCAACTTAATGAATTGTTGAATGCTAATATTTGTAATTATATTTTAAATTAAATTAAATTAAATTATAATTATATATAATAAAATATTCTCATGCTTGACTTTGGAAAATCTGAACCAGGGCATAGTCTGTGAGAAAGATCTAAGATTATATATTATAACTCAAGTATATATATAAAATCCCTATTCAAATCTCATTCTACTCATTTTTTGAGCTCAGTAGAAGTGGCACAACGGCTTAACTATATTACTATATATTAAAAGAATATGCTTAAATATGGTTCAGTACGATTCTTAAATATGCTACAATTACTAGGTTTTAATACTATTTATTACCAAAAAATGAACCTTGTAAATTAACATCAGTCACAATAGTAAGCAATTTTGCCTCTTTACATCTTTTATACTCAAATTGATAAAATAAAAGAATACCAAGTACTTTTTCTCCCAATATACAATTGCTTTCTGTATCATATGTATTTAACAATCAAAATAAATTAACAAGACCTGAACCAATGTTTGGGTGCTTTTTTTTTTTTTTTCAAAAAAAAAAGTTCAAATTCCATTTATATATATATATATATATATGTGTGTGTGTATAAAACAAAACCTTTTGTTTTGTTACTCTTCAAAGAGAACCGAATGTATGGTTCAAATCTCCTATGTTGGCCCTTATAACTAGAGGCAGCAATCGAGGGGTAAGCTTGGATTAGGTCATTTTAAGTTTTAGGTTGTTTTGGGTTTGAATATATTTAAGTTTGGGACATTTTGAGTATAAGTTAGTTTAGGTTAGGTCATTTTTCAAATTTATGGAAGATTTAATCATTTTAGCCTTTTCTAATTCAAATTGAGTTTGAGTTCGGATTTATTTTACTTGGTTTGGGTTTAATTTTTTTTTTTAATTAGGTTCGAATGAATTTGAGTTCAAGCTTTCTAAAATAAATTTTCATGATCGAATTTATTTTACAACCTATAATAATTTCATCATATGAATAATTTATCAAAAAATACTTGCATAATTTGATATTTATCTAAATAAATTTAAAAATAACCAAAATATATCATAATTTTTAAAATCTCTAAAAAACAAAATACTAACAATTATTATTTAAAATATCATAGTAAAATCAATTTTCTAATAAAAGAATATTTTTTAATTTAAATATTTGAGACTAAATACGAGAAATTAGAGTCTAATTACATAATTATGCATTATTCCATTAATTCTCAATCTTTTCAAAAAAGAGAAAAGACTTATGTAATAGAAGAACCTATATATTAATAAATAATTTCTCTCCTTCACAGGCATTGGAAAAACACTAACTCACCGACGGGTTTACGACTCGCTGCCGGTTGCTCGAACCTTGCTGTTGGTTGACGTTAAGATAACCACTTGACCTCACTGAAACGCTCTTCGGCAGTGAACTCCTCTGCGCGCTGTTATTCCTCCTCTCCCACCTTTTCACGCTCAAATCCGGCAGTTCTTCACATTGGAGGTTTCGATTATCCGTGGCAGCTTGGGACGACAGGCTTAAAAGCTTGATCAACTCAATGTTGGCCACCCGAAGATCGCTATTCTCATTACGCAGCGTTTCGATCTCTCTGATGAGATTTTGGAGGCGAGAACGGCACAGGTCGTAGTGGTCACATAGTTGCTGATACTCGAGAACGAGATGAGCCTGGTTGAGGCGGTGCTCGGTGGCAATGACGTCAGATGTGACCTTGAGATTAAGGTGGAGGTCATCCGAGGAAGAGCAACAGGAAGGTGGGAGGGAAAGGGAAAGAGGGAGAGCAGATTTTGGTGGGAAAATGAAGTTGTACATTGAAGAGAAGTCCATAGCTATATCTTGTTGGTAATATTGGTGGTGGTTTTGAAGTGGAGATGGCGGGGGTGATACATAGTTTTGGCTGTCCACGGTGGTGGACGAGGTGGCGGTGGGGGCGGAGGTTGTATTCCGATTGGAAGATGGAGCTGTTGGTTTCTCCATGATGAATATCTTGCTGCACTAGGTTCAAGCAAAAGCAAGCATCAAAATAGAAAATAAATAACATTTTAGACAAGAAAAAAATTGAATAACAAGTGAATAATTTCTCTTTTCCTCAAAAGAAAAATGAAATCAACTACTCGATTTTTACGAGTACAAATACAAAAGATCAATTTAGATTTTCAATGATTGAATTTTTACAGAAAAACTTAAAATTTGACCAACAGTCATTTAATACGTTGATAATATGTCGAAAAATATTATTAAAAATTAAACCCTGATTGGTTCAAATATAAAAACAAACAAAAAAAACTAAATTTGAGTTTTGATAAGATGCATAAATTGATCAATTTTAGTTAATTTGTACCTTGGATTTTCCAATTTAGAAGGAGGAACACTCGAAAATCCTTGAATTGGGGCCAAAATTTTCCCAACAAGGAACCTTAATTATAAAAGAATAGTGAAACAGTTGCCGTAGAAGAAAGAAAAGGTGAGAAATAAATAATGGGGACAAAATCTAGACATATAATATTTATATGGGAATTTAGTTAGAGAGGTGAGTGAGGAAAAAGTGTTTGGTTGGGGGGGAATGTTTTGGCGTGGTAAGAAAGAATGTGAGTTGGAGAATAGATGGGATTGGGATAGGGAAGGGGAAGTGGTTTGGAGGGATTTTGTTTCCATATTTGTTTACTATAATGAGTTAGCTAAGATTAAGAGATGCTTTCTTCAAAGTCATTTTTTAAGTAAGGTTAATCATTATTATTATTATTATTATTATTATTATTTGTCTATGTGTTTGTTGCTTCTATTTCACAGCTTTAACTAACCATGGCCCCTCTTCAATCAAGATATATTGCCTAATATCTTGTTATATAGCCAACAACCACTACCACTATTCAACTCTAAGCTCTATTTTTTTTTCCCTTAATTTTCTAGATTTTACATTGGATGTAATTTTTTTTATATAAAAAATTCGTAATTTATAGATAGAAGAATGATATTTTTTAGAAAAAAAAAGAAACAACTGCAATTATTTTAGCAAATTGTGTTCTAGTATTAGGTTTAGATTTTAATCGTTTTATATAATATAATATATATATATATATATTTTTCGCTAGCTTTTAATGGTGCCTTCTTAATTACGTTAAATCATGTCTTCATTTCGGGGAAGATGATCACATCAAAATTAATTCACGTTTCCCGTTGAATTCTTTTTCTTATTATTGAGAGTTGCGATGTTGTTATCATATGGTATTAATTTAGTGAACTTTTTTTTTTTTTTTTTTAAGAATAGGCGTTGGGTCATTTCTTGCCCGTATAGCCACCAACAACAAATCCATGTTTTTATATTATAGAAAAATGGCACACGAATCACTTGTGCACTATATTATTGAAAATTTTGGTCAGAAAGAAGAGAAAATAAAAAGTATTATAGAATACCTTTTTTTTTCTATGAAAATATCACTTAAAATAATTTTAATACAATTAATCAATAACAATTTAAAATTATATGAGATCTATTAAATTTTTATATGAAATTAACACTTATAAATAAAAAATCCCTATATAATTTTTTATTATGATTGAATACTTATAATAAATAAAATTATAAATAAAATATTCACTTTTTTAATACATTAATTGATTTTACCGTGATGAGGTCCAAATTTCTCTTTAGCAACTAATAAGCCCAAAGCCCAATTTCATGAGCATGAAGATAAGGACAAAGATGTAAATTAATTGGGTAAAATCTTCCAGGATGTAATGACACGTTTAGTTTGCTTGCGAAATGAAATAAAAAGAGAATGGAATTAATAACTTGTGAAAACAAAAATTAGGAGGAATAAAATAAAATATATATTATGAAGTTTCGCTGAATAATTGTGGAATTAGTATTAATGTATTTGATTAGTTCTAAAAATTTAGATGAAATTTATCTAAAAGATCATTTTACCCTTGTAATTTATTATCACAATTATTAATTATTAAAATGAATAACAAATTAATAATAATATATTAAATAATTATATATTATTAAGTAATATTAAATATTAATATTTTAATTAAGATTAATTTCATAAAATTAGAAATTAGTTTAATAAAAATTAAATATTAATTTAATCATATTATATATTAATTAATAATATTCAATATTAATTTAATATTATTAAATTTTAATTTCATAAAATTAACTATTATTTAATAATATTAAATATTATTGAACAATATTAATTCTTAGTTTAACAATATTAAAAATTCAATTTAATAATAGTAAATATTTTAGTAATATTTATATTAAATATTAATATTAATAATATTTTAATATTAAGTATTAAATTTAATTTTAATAAATTTTTAATTTTAATTATTATATTATTTATATTTTTAATATTAATTGTTAATTTAAAATAATTTAATATTATTTAACAAAATTTTGTAATATTTTAATATTATTTTAATATTAATATAAATTTATCAATTTTTAAAAATGTTAATATAAACTGAATAAATAATAATATTTTAATACCAAATATTATTTTAATAATATTTAATATTTAGTATTATTTGAATAATATTTTATACTAAATATTAATTTAGTTACTATTTTCATATTTAATATTGCTTTAATATTATTTAATATTTAATATATTTTAGTAATGTTTGAATATTAAGTATTATTTTAATAGTATTTCATTATTTTAATGTTAACTTAATAATATTTTAATATTATTTAACTAATATTATCATATTTTCTTATTATTTTAATATTATTTAAGTATACACTATTATTTAATTTTTTTATAATATTTAATATTAAGTTATAGGGAAATGATCATATCCACAACTTAAAAATTAGTGAAAGTTTTCACTACTTTATCTAATGGTGATAAATGCACTATCAACTAAATATATAGTTGAAATTTAATAATTTTAAATTAAATATAAAATAAATAAAAATTAATTAAAAAGATAAATATAATTCAAACAAATATTCATCATAGATTTAATTGAAAGCGCATTTATTACCCTTAGAGGACATTTGATTCAGGAAAAATAATTTTCCTCCGGAATTTACTTTTTGTAATTTAATTTCTTGGTTTGGTTCATTAGAATGTGATTATTACGATTTTTTTTAGAATGTGATTACTAAGATTTTTAAGATTCCCAATAGTATCAAAAAGTGAAAAAGTAGGATGAATTAAAAACTCTCTTTTCTCTAAAATTTTTTTCAGATTCCAAAAAGAAAGTAAAATTTTTTCTCCACTTGCCCTCATTTAATTGCATTTTTAGATTATATTAACAACATTATTTATCTTAAAAATGCAGTCCTTGTTGAAAATATGAAAAAAAAACTATTTTTCATAATCCAACAAAAATGATATTTTTAAAATAAAATGTGTGGCTTTTGTTAAAAATATGAAAAATATTTATTTTTCAGAATTTAACAAAAATGATATTTTTAAGATAAAAATATAATTTTTATTGAAAAGATAAATTTTTTTACGATAAAAACGCAGTCTTTATTGTAAATATGAAAACAATATTTTTCAGAATTCAATAAAGACAATATTCTAAAATAAAAAATGCAGTCTTTATTGAAAAAACGTTGTTTCTAAGATAAAAAAAAATAGTTTTTGTTGAAAACATGAAAAAATATATTTTTCATAATTAAAAAATGATATTTTTAAAATAAAAAAGATTTTTATTAAAAATATGAAAAATATTATTTTTCAAATTTTAACAAAGACCACGTTTTTAAGATAAAAACTTAATTTTTGTTGAAAAGATAAAATTTTTAAAATAAAAATGCAGTTTTTGTTGAAAAAAAAGATGTTTCTAAGACAAAAAAGCAGTCTTTTGTTGAAAATATAAAAAATAAATTTTTTAGAATTCAATAAAGATGATGTTTCTAAGATAAAAATGTATTTTTTTTAAAGAGAAATTTTTTAAAATAAAAAATGTAGTTTTTATTGAAAATATAAAAAAATAAAACGTAAAAGACTTTATTAAGTAATCTTACATTCCAATAAACTAAATACAAAAATCTTACATTCTCTAAATCAACAAAACTCATGAATCACACATTCTCTTTTATTATCACTTCCTCCTTAAATCACTTTCTCTTCCAAAATATAAAATTTCACGAACCAAATACCTTTTTAAGTAAAACAATGGAAACTTTCACTAATTTTTAAGTAGTGGATAGGATCCTTTCCCATGTTAATAATATTTTGATATTAAATATTAATTTAATAATATTATAATATTGTTTGAATAATATTATATATGAAATATTAATTTAATAAGATTTTTTGTTATTTTAATATTATTAAACATTATTTAATTAATTATTTAATTTAATTAATATTAATTTATTATATAATTAAATATGTAAGGACAAATTTATAATTAACTAAATATATAAGGAGAAAATTGTCCATAATTATTATTCTCAAATCTTTATGGATATAGAATTGTAAATTTTAGAAGAGAAAAGAGAATTGTTATTCCTTATTTTCAAAGAATTGATATTCCATAAAATAGCTATTATTTGCTAAAAAATGAACCAAATAATAGAATAAACAGGCCACAAGGAAAGTAAAGGGAATGGAATTGTAATTCTCCCCAACCAAGAAAATGTAAGCAGATGAAAAATGTGGCTCTTCACCTTTTAAGCATGGACACAAACTCATGATTTGAGGTGATGGCTCTTCACCTTTGAAGCATGGATACAAACTTATAATTTGAGGTGATAATGATTTAGATGGAATTGTATTTGATTTGAATTTTTAGATAATATATATTATTATGAATTTTTAAAATTTGATTTAAATTCGAATTGATTTTTTTTTAAATTAATCCTAACCGAATTCTACTAGTTTGGTTCAGTTGATTGGTTTTTTAATTTAATTTTTATTTTTATATATTATTTTAGTGCTATTTTGAATATATTTAAATAAATTTAGATAAAAATAATAATAATTTAAATAGATACAAAAGCAAATAAAATTATATAATTCAATTAGATTCCATTTTTTTTTCATTTTTTACTTTTTAATTTGAAATTTAATTCAAATATAATATATACATTTAATATTCAAACTTAATCCGAATAAAATAAAAAAATCATTTCAAATCAAACCGAATATTATGATTTCGAATTGATTTTCGATTTTTTTCCATTTTTCCTAACCCCTACTTATAATATGGGTATAATATGATAAGAATATGAAGTGCGATGATAAATTTTTAAAAAAAAGTACAAAAGACATGATAATAAAAATATTTTTACGTAAGAATATACAAGATAAATGTAAATATTAATACTTTTCATTAATATTTAATGTAAATGCATTATATATTAATATTAAAAAATTTTGATATTTAAATAAGTACTAAATATTAAAATTATTTTGAGATTTAAATAAGTATAATTCATTAGAAATAAATAAAGGAAAAAATAAATTGAATAAATAAA